AATGTCTCGGGGAAATATTTCGGGTAGGCTATTGAATCTAACATGCAGGTGCAGCTGATGTGGACTCCTAATAAATAAATATATAAATAAATAAAAGAAAATGAATAGAAAAAAATAAAATAAAATAAATAAATAACGAAAGAGTGAGAATGAATGAATGAAAGAAATTAGGGTGACCTTATTTGGGCCACAGTGTGGCCTAAATAAGCTAAACCCCCCTCCCTTACCTTATTTAGGCCATATGTGGCCCAAATAAGCACTCCCAAGAAATTAACATTTAAATGGCTAAATAAATTCTAAATAAATAAATAAATAAGATTTAAACATTGTTCTCCCTGTGCTGCAAGATACAGCGCATGTGCGAAGGCGAAACATTGTCCAGTGCCCGGCCCGGACCCCTCCCCCTGAACTCGGAATGGACACGATACTTCCGCGTGACAGATCAAAACGTGTTACCTATTATTGGGCCACTCATGTCTCGTTTTTGTATTCTCTCCCCTCCCCTGCTCGTCATAAAAGGAAGACATCATTAAAATTATAATGTTTTCTTCACATTTCTTTCCTGACGTTTAGCTTTCAGAGCGAGGAAAGTGATCCCGGCTGGGCTGGCACAGACGATAAGGCGGCGGCCAAGCTGTGGAGGATCAGTGAGTCCGTGACCAAGACAGGAGCCATGTGATGATGTGAGGACAAGACAGGAGCCATGTGATGATGTGAGGACAAGACAGGGGACATGTGAGGACAAGACAGGGGACATGCGAGGAAAAGACAGGGGCCATATGAGTGGTGAAGACAAGACAGGGGACAGGTGAGGACAAGCTGTCCCCGTCGTTCTATAATAGAAATAATAATAATAGATAGCATTTGTATAGCGCATATCCCCGCTCAGCAGCAGGTTCTATGCGCTTTACACTATTTGTTCTATGCAAAACAAATTATGAAATTATGCAAACTGAGCCCAAAAATGTGCAATTAAGCGATTGTTAATTTTAACAAAGAATGATAAAGGAAAATAATCAGAAATTACGGTGCAAAAAATGATCAAATTTTGCTTTTGGTACAACACTAAACCATTCTCTCCCGCCCCCTCACCCCAGGCCACTCCTTTTCTCCCCTTTGCAACGGGCCCCCTTTCTCTTCCACAAAGGGTCTCCAACAGTAACAGTAACAGGAAGGATGGGGAAGGTATTGCAACATGTACGGTATTAACCTCGAACTTCGAAAGTTGAAAAGCTCAAAGCCAGCTCGCAATATCCTTCTGCTACAAGACAAGATACGTTTCTGAATCACTAGCAACTATAATATAGATTATTTATTTGGTGTAGAGAAATACATCAGGTATATTTGTCTGTGAACATTCAATGACTTTTTCTTTTTACTTTTTTGTGCGTATCATCTTCATACATGTAGTACATGCTGGTGAAAATAAATGAATTTTTTTGTCAGTTATCAATGATTTAAAAGAAAAGACTTGATTTTTAAAATTTGATTAAAAAGGAAATGAAAATGTGGATGTTACCCAAACCTTGAAGAGTAAAATGCAACGGTCATTTCTCTTCCTTTTCCTTTCAAATAATCTGAGTCTGTATCTGGTAAATCACCACCTTCTCTAGTGAGAGGGTGCGATATATCTCAGCTCTCGAGGCATCATTCCTCGTCGCGAAGACTTCTGTTCAGAAACATTGCGAGGGTATCATGGACGTCAACTGGCAGTCAAAAGAACCGTCTTTGTTACCGTTTTGAAGACCAGACTACTTCTTAATGCACATGGTGTACATTTACTATCACCTTTCTTCTTCATCTTGGCGATTGACTGGCTGATGAAGGAAACCACCAGAGGGCACAGATATGGACACAGTTGGACCATCTCGATTTTTTTGCTTTTGCAGACGACTTTTGGTGCTTCTTTCGCACACCCAGAAACAGATGCAAGCAAAGATTTCAATTTTAAATTGCCTCTCGGAGTCTGTTAGATTGAGGATCGACCCTGGAAAGTCAGAGGTCCAAAGGATAAAAGGAGCAGGTCACAATAGAAGGAAATGCACTTGGAGATGCCGAATCCTTTTGCTATCCTGAAAGTATAATTGAAAGACAGGGAGGAACAGATGCTTTCATATCTTTGAATAGGATTTGTAGGACCAGGGATGTTAAAAATCCTCACCTTTGTTCGAAGAGAGACATCCAATTGATAAAAAAGAAAACCTATGAGCAAGTGTACCTGATGATGTCATTCTTTATTTTTTATGGGAATGTACAAAAGCATAGAAATCACATTGTTTGTACAGACAAATACTGTTCTTGTGCGTCCAAAGTATAGTAGTCATGAAACTTGCACTAAAAGCTATCTTAAAAAACCCCCCAGTGGGAACCTTGATTATATTTGCTGACTGGAAGTTCACAACGCTTCAGTGTAGTAATGGCCATATTTCACACCCAAGACACTAAAACAATTTGCTAGCAGGGTTGACACACATGTCCTCTCCGGTGGGATGTGGCATCTTTTCACTAAACACGTTACGTCATCTGTCTCACTCTCGTTCATATCACGAGATACCAGTACAACTATTAATTAATGTAACTCGGGTTTTTCAAATTTTACAGGATGAGCAAAAAAGAGATTTTTCCCCACAACATCCATCAACAATACCTAGGATGATTTTAATTGAGTATTTTCACCAAAAAATCGCATCTCTGAGGTTTTTACGGGGCATGAGCCCTTTCCTAGTGTCAAATTAAATACGTAAAAAGCCATTTTCACCCAAATCCTGAGTTACGATAACTGCTATCCCTTGATAATACTGAGTCCATCAAAATTGTTTTACAAGAAAAAAGACAACTTGAAATTCCATTGACCTGTTTGTGTCATTCATTGTGAATGTTTTAAAAGCCTATAGACAAAATTTAGATCAATAAATAAAAGACGGGCTGCTTAAACTCTTACACTAAGTGGGGTTCAACATTCAAGCAGACGGAGTCACTTGACATAATCTCCCCCCCCCCCCCCCCCATGTGAATTTAAATCACATTTTCTGCATACAACAGCAAAGAATCTAACCATTACACAATAGACACTGGTAGGGTGAAAAAACGGAATACAAATGAGCAGTACTGAAACGAAGTTGAAGAACGAACTGATTTACTTAAGTGTCTTAAGCGCCCACCAACGAACCCCTGTCACAATTATCCCCCCATTTCTAAAACATTTGTTGGAACAAAATATTTACTTCAGCACCACCAAAATAACGAAACAAGATTTTTAGAACCTACTGGAATGAACGTGAAATGTAACAAAGTCACTCAAACAGAAAGTGGACACAACCAGTTTTGTATAAAAGGATAAGAAACTAAAACGTCTGAAACTTGAGAACATTCCAGAGATACAGACAACGCTCCCTTCTAAAAATATTTTCACAAGAAAGAAAAGAAGAGAAAATAAGTCTTGGCATGGAAAGGCTCAGTACATTTGACAACTGGAAGGCACTTCTGGCAACTTGAGACAAAATATTACAATTCAGACGGTTTTTGAGTGATCTATTTGTCTTGCACCTCTATAGTCTGACCATTTTTGATTGTTAGGCAAAAGACATACAGCAACTGTTTACAGCCCAAGCACTGAGCAGTCTTTCAAAGAAGTAACAGTAGTAAAGTAACACTACTACTTTCACAATGTAACTTGTTCACTAAATTTGTACACATCATAAATAAAAATCTTACCATGCTTTGAACTCACAAAATTTTTCGCCATACAGTATAACGTAATGAAAAATTCCAAGACACAAGTTTATACTTAGAACACTTGTCACCCTGCACAGTAGAAATAGAAAATTTTTCAATGTAAGTTTTATAATAGCACAAAGGATTTCAAGATGAAAAGACAACAGTGACAGAAAGATTGCACATCATAAATGCCGGGTAAATAATTCCTCCAACAATAAAACTTTCACATTAAAGACTGATATAATAGATATCTAGTTAAAAATTTGATATAATATAGCAACAGTGGTTTCAACATTCAAAGTCTTGCGATAACGGAACCTTTCACATTTCAAGTTATGCAGAAACGAAAACATTACTTTAACGTCGTCTTCAAACATTGCTGCCAAAGGAGGAAGAAAGTCGAGACAAGTCTCTACACAAAAGAGAAAGACATAGCAGCGGAGGTACGGAGGTATTCCCGCAACACTTGAGGTGACATGAGGTAACAAAACAGGGGGCATCTTGATCCATCATTTCTTTGCACTCCTCGCAACCAGTATTCTCTGGCTGGCAGTGGCCTATCAGTCACAAGAGAGCCGTCTTCATTCAATACAAAATGTGGACAAAATACATTATAAACAACTCTCATTTGTGGTGACGAGACAGAGGTTATTAAGAATCACAATCACATATATGTGAGGCGTCCTGACAACATCAGTAACTTGTCGCAGTCCACAAATGGAGATACTGGCTGAAAATTGACACACAGATCAAATTTGTAGATTTTGTAATGATGCTATTATCTTCAAGTTTAACATGTCTTTCATCATTTCATACTGATAAATTGTTCAATAATAAATCATTTGATAAAAATCATACTAATAAATTGTACCGTAAAAAAGACTTGTCTTGCCACCTTATCGTTGAAAAGTGGAAAACCTTTTTAGCTTTAATTCTTTAATTAGAAAACATAAAGCGGATGCAAGAAAAACCCGCTACAGGTTGATTACAAAACACTCCTTTCCCAATGCTACATTGATTAAAATTAAAATGTACTTATAAGAGTTGTCACTTGAAAAAAAAATATTCACAGCCTAAGGACACTCTATATATTACAGTTAAATCCCCTGGTTTTGCCAAACTTTTGCTCTTGAATGAGAGAGCTTTCAGCACTTGATTCAAAGCATTAACTACATGTGCAGACACAAAAGCTTCAAATGACGGACTTTAAGAAAAACAGAAAAATCAGTGAGACATCAAAGAAAATATTTTTAAACAATGTGACATGTACACAAAAGACAGACAAGTGGCTCTCTACTCTACGGTAAGTTCTCCACATCCACAAAATCTTTGAAGTGTTTCCAGAGTTTCTTCATCGGGTCTGCCACAGGGACAACGGGCCGGGGGTCATGAGGGTACGGCCCATGCTTCTCTTTGACCACCATCAACTTGTCAATGATGGCACCGTGCTGAAACGTGAGAATAAAATTTAAAATGTTTGTTTTAGTAAGCGCTTTACGTCACTTGCAACACACTTAAGTCATATATAAGTGCCCAAGATTAGAGTTGTTACAAGCGTAAAAAAGGAGGGGAGATAAGGACAATGGGTGTTTTGACAGAAAGGAGCAAACCACACCAGAGCACCTGCCAACCAGCGAAAAAAAATGTAAACAGATTACCTAATTATATCAACATTTTGTAACCTTCAAGAGGTGCAACACATCCAACTGGAACACCGCTCAAGGTCATGCACACATGTGTACGGGTTTAACAGTAACAGGTTTTTACTATAAAGAGTATCCAAATTCAATACAAATCTTCGTAAGGAGGAAGCAAAATGAGTGAAGAGCTTCGAAAACTCCACAAGCAAAAGAAGTCCAAGAACATCTTAGTATGTACTCAAACCACAGTCAACCATACTGCAGTCCCATCTCAAAAACTCTTGTTATAGACACATCAGCACTAAGCAAGATTACCTTATCATCCGACACCTGCTCCATGTAGACATGTGTGCTGTTATACACCTTCATGCGAGTGTAACCGTAGTCATCACTTCTAAATGCAGACCAGTCGTCCACCTTTTTGTCAAAGTTGTCATGCTTCTCTTTGCATCCCTGAAAATAGTTGTTTAAAAAAAATTGATTACTGCATCATACAATGACTGAACAGACAGCTAAGATACACAGAGTAATTCAAGGGAATCTGCGTGTAATAAAAATAGGCTCTGTATAATTTGTAAGTGATAAATCATTTTTTTGAGACCATGTACTAAGCTTGTTGTTGGCGTTTTGTGCAGAAGGAGAATTTTGAAAATGATGTCTTTCAGAGCATCTATGCATACAAATTATTAAAAAGGAGTTAACGTTTTGGGTCTTTCTTAACTTTTCACATCAGGTTAAAAAAACAACCCAACCCAGCTGGCCTCTGCATTCATCTGACATATGAAATACACCCCACCCCCCCCAATCATAGTACGATAGTATTACATTAGTTCTGTTTATTTTTTTTAACAAGTTTTACAGTATTTTGTGTAGAGGTTCAACATTTGGCAAATCGAGAGCCACTTTCCCACGAACAGACAATGTTTCAAGAAAGTGTAGGCTGTACTGGGACACATAAAAATCCCTGTATTTCTTCCAGAACAGAACTCACTGCAGATCCTGTGGTGATGTGTACTGGGGCTCCTGGGTTGGTATAGGGCTTGGAGTAGCTTCCATTGTACACCTGTTGGAAAACAAATTTTTACTGGTAATACATTACACACAACATTTCAAGTTACATAAAGTTTTTATTTGAGTGAGTGGGTGACAATCCCAAAATGAAATACCAATCATTTTCTTTTAATCTGAGGTACCCGTTGAAAACGAAAGCTGAGGTAAAAATCATCTAACATTTTTTTACATTTTAAATCATTGTCTAATAGTACATGTATGTATATAACTGTCATAATTATGCTATCAAATCTTAAAATTCACGAGTAACAGGGAATATCCAAATAATACAAATATCTGTTACAAAAAGCCCTTCGATTTAAATGATAAGAAAAAATACAAAATTTAATGTCATACAACTTTAACCCTTACAGGACCATGCTACTTTTATACCTCATTTCCCCCTGGCCTAGATAATAGTGTCTTCTCAGGCCAAGCCAATATCGATTTTATTTGCAGCTTCTTGCAAAAATATTGAACAAATTTCGATACTGCTTTTGTTTGAAATTTTACAAGACAGCATGAAGAATATTTTTCAGAGATGACTGAATAGATTATGGTAGAAATATGAGACTCTGCTTGAAGTGGCTGGCACCTTGCGAGGTGAATATATGCGACTGGGCCTGAGGAAACTAGACCTCATGAGGGAAAATATACGCGACTGGGGCTGCAAAGGTTAATACTATTTATACTGCCCGTTGATGCCGAACTTTTCTTGAGGACTTGCAGGTTGACCTCGGCAAAAATGACAGCTGTAGAACAAAAAATAGTTGATCTATTTCTACCGCTTACCAGGTCTACTTTTTCCCCCGATGTGAAATAGAGAGATTGCATAAATTTATCTGATGAAAGCACCCAGTCGTACCTTTCTGTTGTAGACGGGCCAGAGTCTCTCGTAGGAGTGCTCGTGAGCCCACAGGGCAATGTCCACGCCGTACTCGTGGAGCAACTTCTCCATACCCAGAATATGCAGGAACGGGATTCCAACACGAACCTGAACATGGAAGAGACAAGTCAAAATTTTGTGTTGTGAATGGAATGCTACCAACATTGCCTTCTACACCATACTAGGGGAACTACTAAAGAAATCTTTGTCACCGATGCCATCTAGAAGATGAAAAAAACTTTCATCCAACAAAACAAATTGATCTTATAACTTGTCCACTGCACAATGAAACATAATTAGTCACTCAGAATTAGGAAAAAGTAAGATAGACAGAAGAAAACAGCAGAGGGAAAGAAAAGAAACTGGAACCATCTGCCATCATTCATCATTTTACTGCAGTTCATTTGAAAAGAGTATTGTACAGAATGAGCAGAAAGCAGAAAATAAGCTGTAAATTCTAATCAGTCAGCATGACAATGGTCACATTACACCAGCAACAAATAAGAACAACACAATATATGTGAGGCGTGCTGACAAAACGAGCTACTTCTCACAATCCGAGAATGGAGATATTGGCTTAAAATCAACACATAGGTCATATTTATAGATTCTAAACCAATGCCATTCTCTCCAAACTTAACATGTCTTCTATCATTTCATAAAAATAAATTGTAAAAAAAACCCAACCTATAAATTTTAAGTATCTATTTCCATCAGACTAAATTCTGAGAAGTAACTCATTTTGTCAGCCACCTCACACATATTGTGTATTCATAAACCCCAACCAAGTGTAGGGGCGACTTACCAAACTCTCATGGTGAGTGCAGTCATCGTTGTCGTCGTTGGAGCAGTACATTGGACGGTGACCAAACACGATGATCCATGGACGTTTCTGACGGTTCTCTGGTTTGTTAGCCTCCTGAAACACACGGTAAATAACAGACATAAAAGGTATTCACACATGTGAAAACACTTTATTTGACATTATTTTTCATCGTAGTGCAGCAGCATACCGGAGAAGTAAGGAAGAATTTACAGAACAGAGATAGCTAAACCTATCGTCCGATGTGGCAAAAGTAGAGCTTCAAGAATGATTAGACACAGAACATCTGAGCTAGGGCCTACCATCATTTGTTTGTTGCTTTGAGTTTAAAGAGAAGCACATTGATTTATTGACTGCCATTTAGTGCACAGAAAAGGCAAAACAGACAGAAACAATAGAGGTAAAGAAAAGAAGAAGGACCTAATCAGTGACACCGTCCAACACCCCTCGAATCTATGGTCAGAGATACAGCACATGTAGAGAGAGAGCTAAATGTATGAAGCGAAACTACAACATAATAAGAATACGGACAAAAGCTCTCACCGCCAGGTCTCTCTCTAGCCACTTGTACTGCTCCACGATGGGGACCAGGCCGTACTGAACGTAGAACAGGAGCTCCGTGGACAGGGAGATGAAGTGAACTGGGCCCATGTTGAAGCTGAAACACAACCAGGTTCCTTATGAGCTGCTGTTTATGGCAAGGTCAGCACTATACCAGTCATACCAGGTGGTGTCTAAATTTGGAAAAAAAGCTAACACACACAAAAAAAAGTATGAACACATCAAAGGGCACCTTCTGATCAGATCCCCTTCCTGAAATTTACCACCATGAAAAAAAGAGTTACTTTACGAGATACCCTCCTCCATTCACCTCGAACCAACCACCTAAACGATGGATGATTTCTCTGATTGAGTCAAAGAGAGGCATATTACATGAAAACAATTATATGTGGCACGACGCGGTGGAATCAGGCTCTCATCAATTTTTGGGCATATGGACTTGATGGCATCATCTTAAAGCCTGTCCATTTTCCTCGTTTTTGGTGAAAATAACATCCATCTATGTTGAATAGAAGTCGATATATGTGTGATTGAAGGAGGTGAGGGTCCTTTGTTTCAGAGGTAAAATTAGCGAGAAAAAGGCCGCAAAGGTCGAATTATTTCTTTAACTTGAGAGTCCGTGGAAACTGAAAATTAACACTTTTTCTGCCTTTAATCATTTTCAGTAAAATCCACACAGAAATATGCTCTTTAATGGGCATGAAAGGTGTTGAGCCAAAAAGCAAAAATTCGATGATAATTCCCAAACCTGCAGAAAAATGCCAATTTCTTGACTTTCGTTATTTTGACGAGCACCAGATTTCACCACGCTACCTCACATATAGTGGAGAGGAAAAGCAAGATCAATAGAAATCAAAGATGAACAGCTATGAAGTACGACCCACAATCAATAACTTCCAACCACCCACACGATGAAAGGAGAAAAACCTCCAGCCTGGCAGTCACTCAGTTCACTGCACTTTCCTGGTGTCAAACACATCTTCTCGAACATACAATATCGCATAACCCAAATAAACAGGGAAGGGTAGAATTAATTTAAAAGATTACCAATTGTGTCTCAAGATCTCTAAGGCAAAGCACTAAAGCCAGAGATTTCCCTCAAAACATATAATATCGATACAGCAAACACATTTTGGCACAGGAACTCAAAACTTGGAAATCTATGGATGAAATATCACCCTTGAAAGCAAGCATTTTATGACAAGATGTACAACATGGGTTTTGAGAAGATTAACCCCACAGAGTAGACACTTTGAACAAAAGAAGGAAGATGTAATAACTTGATTTCTTTAGAGCAACATCTAGTCAACTGTTCAATTTGAAAACGTGGGAGTAATTCAAAACACAATCATCATCGAGTTGAATACGAAATAAGTTCACATACGGCAAAAAGTGCATTCAGAACACTATAAAAACACAGACTCCAAAAGTTCTCAAGATTCTTCTTTTAGCTCACTCTCTTAGCACTAGCCCTTCCTACCTGAAGTAAGTACGCTTGTTCTCATCCCCGGGCATCCAGAAACGATTTCTATAGTTGGAGAAGTTGCTGAAAAAGAAACAAGACGGTTCATAAAGCTCAGTTGTGTCTTCAGAGGGACAGATGGCTTCAGCTGGGAATTGGGAAAGAGATGCACTAAGGTTATATGAAGGGGAAAAGCAATAAAAAAGAAGTATCACCTGTGGTGTGGCATAAATGCAACACCCTTTACAAAAGAGTAAAGCTAGGAAAATTGCAAAGCTTGAGATTCAAGCCACTTTCCGATCAGATCCCACTCCTGAAATTCCGGACGACTCAAAAAATATTTCTTAAGCATTCCTCAACAAAGACACAATCTTCCGTTCACCTGTAACAAGTAGTTACAACAAAATGTAGAGCCGAACCTGCTTTAACAGTCACATGTACAAACAACCCCTTCCTACTCCCCCCACCTTCCATAATTTTGCCTTATATCATAACCACACTGTCCAAAATGACGACCACCTGTCTTGGACAACCACTTTTCTCCTCAACAAAGGGTGGCTGTCTCGGACAATTCTGACAGTAATAATAAAATTAAATAGCATTTATATAGCTCATATCCTTAGCTCAACAGCAAGCTCTATGCGCTTTACACTATATTATTACCCCAGCACATACAATGCAAGCAGCCGATTAAGCGCTCAAACACTAACAAACTGTGAAGATTTTTCACTGTGACTGTCTATAGCTAGGTACCCATTCCAATCTGGGAAAAGTGAAGAAAAATCGTGAAAAATGTTTTTTCAAGGACACAACGTTGGGCCCCTGACAGGATTCAAACCCACGACCTTACGATTGCAAGTCTGAGAGCCTGACCGCTAGACCACAGACTGTACTAGTAAGTACTCACTGGGCATTCTCATGATTCCCAGGGCAGGTCATGTAGGGCAGTCTCGAGGCCAGGGGCTCAATCTGTCGCATGAACTCATCTCCCACACGAGCATTGTCCTGGGAGGGAAAAAAACAATTCTATTCAAACAACAGCTTGGTCAGGGTCCAGTTGATCCAGACCCACAACAATGATCACCACATTTTACAATAAACATATTAGTAGTAGGGCAATAGCAACCCCCATAAAAATCAGGGCTCTGCATAGTGGGAAAACAGGAATGGCGTGTATGTAGCATATCTGTAAGTTTCAGTCTGTATGTATTTATGTATTTATGAACCGCATTAGTGCCACGTATAATATGTTATGTCATAGCAGAGAGTTTACAGTAATACTAGAGAGACGGCACTTCGCCCGGATGCGCGTATCTGGGTCACCAGCTGATCGTGGAGAAACGCGTGGTAAACAAAACAAACTGCGTCCATTGTTCAAGACATTTTCGTTGATCGCAGACAAGCAAGGCCCCGGTTAGTACGAAATGTCAATGGTGTTCTGCTATAAAATGCACCTATCAAAATCAAAATCTGAGTTTCTTTCGATTTCCAATGGATGACGAATATATTTTGACGAATAGAAAAATATAGATAAAAATAATGACAATGTGATTGTGCTCTAAATACAAAGTGCCATCGATCGGTTTTGCTACTTTCTTTGTCCGATTACCACTTTTTTTTGGGGGGGGGGGGGAGAGAATGGGATGTGGGATGGAAGGTGTTACAGATCCTTTTAAACTCTTTATCATTATTATTGCGCCATGCGCTTTTCCATGATCTGAAATTGTGAGAATTTAATATAATGTGTTTGTGTGTGTGTGTGAGAGAGAAAGAGAGAGAGAGAGAGAGAGTGAGAGAGAGAGAGACAGACAGACAGACAGACAGACAGACACAAAGAAAGAAACAGATTGACAGACAGATATAGGCAAAGCGAGAGGGGAGAAAGAGAGACGTACAGAGAAAGGGAGACACACACACAGAGACAGAGAGAGAGAGAGAGAGAGAGGGAGAGAGAGAGAAAGAGAGAGAGAGAGACAGAGACAGAGAGAGAAAGAAAGAAAGAAA